GGATCAGATATATATTTCATCGTGGATACCAAATGTCCCCAAAATGTCAAAACCTGTTATTTTGACATTGTGAGGACCATTTTTCAGTTCCCACAAGAGGAAATTCAATTTAATAAAAATCTGTGACTGCAATCAAAAAATTAAACATACTAAAAGTCTCGTATTTTGTTTGGTTACTTATAGTTAAGGTCAGGGTTGTGTAGTGGTTAAGGTCGTCATGCTGGGATTAGGGTTTTTCCTATAGAAATGAATGGATTTTCCCCACAAAGGTATGACTGCAGGTCTGTGTGTACCTGTGTGTATATGTGTGCTCATTGGGGCTTGGGTTCCTTCGTCTCAGCAGCAGACAGGGAGAGGCGATATTCCACACAGTGCGGAGACGCAGCACTGTGGTCCCTGGACATTGCAGACCGCCACCGAGCTCCATGCTGCACCCCTACAATAATCCAGTCTGCACTGACACCCACCTGCCTACCAGACACCCCGGCGATCTTCCTTCATTTCTGGCTTTCAGATGACGCCTGGGACTGCACCGGGACATCTGGGAGTCATTACTGCCGTGCAGGCAAACCTGGGAAGAGGCGACATCTGCACACGCAGGGGGGCTTCGGAAAGCTGGCGCTCGGTTTACACGCTGGGTGCAGAATTTGACGCAGTCGGCTTCTTCGTCTCCCTTTTCCCGCATTCTTTCTTGCAGAGCCGTGTCCTTCCTCCTCTTTATCGGCGTGGCCTCGCAATTTCCATTCTCTTCGCCGAGATCCTGACGGCCCGCTTTCATTTCCGACGGCATGCCGGACGGCGCGGCTCCCCGCCGCAGAATGCTAATTTCAACCTCCCCCCCCCCGCCGCTGCCTACCTACCCCATCCCCACTGACAGCAATCTCGCCTGTCACGGGGGCAGAATGCAATCTCTCATCCCGGGATATGAATTTCTGATCAGCGAGCGGCCGACTGCCATCAGGGTTTATAGTAATCCCGCCGGACGGCCTCCATTCCCCACGCCGGCGGTAATGGATGGAAGCTCGCGGCTCTCGGAGCTCGTCGGGAATTCCGCGCCGAAACGGGCATGTGCCGGTGTGCCACCGCTGGCCGTTGGAGGCTGTGCACCCCACCCTTCACCTTTGTTTTAGTAGCATCATCTTGGCTAAACCACCAGCATCGTTTTCATTATGAACTAGATGCTAAAGTTATAGTTTAAATTTTTTTTTTTATTATTCAGTGAATTTTTATTTTACTGGTAACGTAGTAATAAGAAGCGGAATCTAAAAAAGCAACAAACAGATTATTGCATTCCTTTGTGGAAAAAAACATGAGGATAAGTCGGTACCCAGGGCCCCCAGCTCTGCCTTACACTGGTGGTTCTGGTTCAAGATCTTCGGCTGGAAGCCGGGCCCCTCCCACTGCCGTGGGGCCCTTTGATCGCACATCAAGGAGCTGTCGAGCTGGCCGAAGCCCGTGTTAGCCCAAGACACACAGAGGGCCTTCCCGTAAAGGTCAAGGGAGTGTGTCGCGTCGCCACAAGACCAAATGAAGATCGCAAATGTTGGCTGATGATTCGGGAGACGTATCCATATTAAACATCGCGGCCTGTCGAGAGGGCACCTTGGGACCCATCTCTGAAGTAGTGGGGGGTTAGGGGGGAGGACAGCTTGCAGTCCACAAATTCAGGCCGGGAGGCATCCTGGGTGCTGCAGCCCACGTAAAACAGCAAGTGCAGAAATATGTGCCACCAAGCCTGGGATCAATGCGCCTCCCTCCTGTCTGGTAACAACGACAGTTTGTACTGAAAACTATCCATGAAAATTATAGACTCGTGCTTGATAAAATCACATCCCCCTGCTCGCTGCAAGGCTACATTAAATGGAGTACAGAGAAAAATAAGGATATCAAAGGCACGAAAGTTTCACTTTGTCGGTGACATATAATAGCGACTGCTGGTAATAGTAATAGCAGAAGCGTTAGCTATACTAGGTAGCTGGGAGTCGTAATCCGGGGCGTTATGGCGCATTTAGGTTCATTTAGAGGAGCGACGTGTGAAGTGAGGGCTTCACCACTGATGCGGGATGATGACATCACTGCCCCCCACCCCTGAGCCGACCACTCGCTCCATCAGGCCGTGGTACATCGCAAACTCAGTACGGTGACAGACACTTGTGCTTATACACATTAAAGGTATCTCTATGTACCAAATGCAAACATATTGTGTTTAAAGAACAAACCCTAAATTAAAACCTTTGAAAAACGGGTTCAAATATCTTTTAGTTTTGTTGTTGCTATTATAGTCGTAGCAATACTAGTATTACTATCACTATTATTAATATTACTATTATTTTTAGAACTATCATTATTGTTATAATTATTATTAATAATAATCTGAAATAAGAAATGTCTGCCATTGTTGTTACATAGTCACATACATTTCTTTTGTATTTTTTGATCATATATAAAATATAATTACAGCATGCTAAAAGAAATATAGTTAATCTCAACTAATCAAAAAGATTTTAAAAATTAAAATATACATTCAGTAGGCCCCCCAAGAAGGCAGATAAAAGATAAAAAAGAAACAATTGGGCTTTGCAGTACATAGCGGATAATTTTAAAAAGTGTGGCATTCCAAGAGGTGGCTTATTCTGAGCAGTATCTGTGCCGGACGCCAGTAACGCATCGCGAGCTCTCACGGAATATCGCGCGGCTGACATTCCCCTTTTAAGCAGGAATACACAGGAATACTGGTATTAATGAGCCGGGATGAATTTCTCCCCCTTAGCATTTATACTTTAAGGAAAGTCACCTGATCAAAAGAGTGCAGCTCCATTCGCTTCGGGACTCGGGGTATTTGCCGGAAGGCCAGCGGACCCCAACACCTTTTCAAGCGATTCAATTGATCTCGTGAAGACAATGAGGCATTCTGGGTAAAAGCAGGGGAGAGGTGCGGGAGAGAGGGCGCGATCTTTGCCTGTCACCTGCTGCCAAATGCGCGCAGCCTCAAAGACATCATTAAGCAGAGAGAGGGACTGGCTCTTCTTTATCTGAAGGAAATTCCAAACAAAGGGCTGGCTTAATGTTATGAATTCAAATATCTACACAAGCACGGAATGCCCAATTGTTGTGATGCTAGATGCATTTTTTATTTAAGGAGAACATTACTCTCTATATATGTATAATCGAGAGCATCTATGAAGTAGGCACCGCATGTAGTATTCTTTTAACGGCAAAATATGATACCGGTATTGGCAGCTTTATTCGAATGATTGAGTGACACCCGGTGGCTGGCGCTGGTACTGCACCAGGACATTTAATTCTACTGCAAACGAATGATGACCAGATATTTTATGTTTTAAAATAAAATAATAATAATAATTATAATAATTATAATAATGTTTATATATTTGACATGTTCTTGGCTTATAGCGCCAAGACCTGAAGATCACTCATAATGAAAATTAAAGCCTAACAGTTTCATTGTGCCAAAAACAAAGATATTCTCCCCCTAAATCACAGGTATTTTCCCCCTGCACTGTTAAAGGAGGCTGTGCATCCATCTGCTTGAAAACGCCACACAGCCTCATCCAGGCGCCCCAGGGCCTTCAGTTTGACCCCCTTTGTCCATCAATTCCTTTCTTCAAATGAATGTGCATATCAAACATTCAGGTTGGGGACACAGGGCCGCTGGATGGTATAATGGAATAGCAATGACAGACACAGACACAGAGCAGTAAAACAGCAAATGCCCCTGTCAGTAATGCTCTGTTCAAGCCAGCCGGCAGCTTCGAGAGCCCGCATCTGGTTTCCTTAAAATCCAGAGTTCTAGGAATGTCTGGCATGTTGCCTCTGCTGTCTGTGTCCATGCAGAAGCTGCGGATGTCAAACTGTGGTCTGACAGCGCAGTCAGGAAGCCCATGTAGCACAGAGTGGCGAGCCACAGACAGGCCCTGATGCATGCAGCCCCCAATGCCTACAGGCCACAATGCATACAGGACCCAATGTACACAGGACTCAATGCATACAGGACCTGATGCATACAGGCCCCGGGCCATGCAGCTCCCAATGCATACAAGTTTCAATGCTTACGGGCCTCAATGCATTAAGCACCCAATGCAAACAGGCCTCAATGCATACAGGACCTAATGCATACAGGCCCAGAGACATGCAGCACCCAATGCATACAGGCCTCAATGCATGCAGGCCCCAATGCACACAGGACCCAATGCATACAGGTCTCAATGCATACAGGACCTAATACATACAGGCCCAGAGACATGCAGCTCCCAATGCATATAAGCTTCAATGCTTACAGGTCTCAATGCATACAGCACCCAATGCATACAGGCCTCAATGCATGCAGCCCCCAATGCATACAGGCCTCAATGCATGCAGGCCTCAATGCATGCAGGCCCCAATGCATGCAGGCCCCAATGCATACAGGCCCCGATACACGCGGGTCCCAATGCATACAGGCCCCGATACACGCGGGTCCCAATGCATGCAGGCCCCGATACATGCAGGCCCCAATGCATACAGGCCCCGATACACGCGGGCCCCAATGCATGCAGGCCCCGATACACGCAGGCCCCAATGCATTCAAGCCCCGATACATGCAGGCCCCAATGCATACAGGCCTCAATGCATAAAGGCCTCAATGTATTATCAGCTAATGTGTCACCACAAAGCAACTGAAATGTGACAGATGAGATGTCCAGTTAGAAATGTAACATACAAGCAACAGAGACAAGAAGTCCCCCTTAGTCTGTCTCATCAGGATGCCAGCTTTTCTTTGAAAACAAAGATACAAACATATAAAATACTTCAACATGCTATTAGACCAGTTACATTTAAATACTGGTTTCGACTAATTTAAAATGCCAAGCACTTTCTTGTTAAAAGCCTTTTTAAGGTCAAACTTCATTGTTATAACTTACAGAGAATGACATACAATGTATTAGAATTATATACTCAAACTGATTACTTTCAAGTAAATATGTAAATAACTAACTACATTGTGGAAATCCATTTTATTATTAATATTTTTTTACTTTTCAAAAAGGAAAACCAAATTAATACAAACTACCTATATATTAATCACAGGGTTTTCCTACAATTATAAAAACTGAATGAAGCATTTGTGCACCAGTGATATTAATCATAATTGATACACACTATTAAGTATTAATTAATACACATTCTTTATATATTTCACAGTCTACTTACATATACAGAATAAAAGAGCTTTATGCTGAATACACCTCCAGAGGTGGAAAGTTCAGGTCCAGAAAGTACAAAAGAAGACCAAGATTTTGCTTCAACCAACCAGCTGAACATAAGTCATAGTGTACTCAACTGGTTGGCTGAAACAAACTCTTGGTCTGGATTTGTACTTTTGGGACCTGAACTTTCCAGCTCTCTATACCTCATGTATTTTTAAGACTAATGCAGTGATGTGCAGCCGAAAATCCTTGTTACGCCGCTATGCTGAGTTTGCTGCAATCCCAACAATGGCCACTAGAGTGTGCTGTTGGGGGAGCCTCGATCTGGCACGGCCTGTAGAGGCAGCATGGGGGAGGGACTGGCAGTGACCTTGTACATCTCAGCAGCCGGTCCCTGCGGCGGCGACGGCACGGGTGTCTCCGGGGCGGCTGGGGCAAAGGGAGACGCTCAGCTTAGTGTTTTCGGAGAGAGGGAACCAGTCGCTACGGTAACATCTCCCCAGTACCCAAACCCAGCTTCTTACAGATCTGCTCGACGTGCACGGGGGCTGGCAGCGAGCTGATAAGGACAGTGTGGCCCGTCAGGGGGTCCGGAGCCAGCTGCGGGTGACCGGAGTGAGGCAGGTGGGGGGGCTCCGTGGCCAGGCCTGGGGGAGGACAGGCACTCAGTCACGCGGCGCTCCGACTCCATCAAACAACAACTTGTGGCTCCTGGTAATAAGGAAGCCATAAAAGCTGACGCAGCAAGCGCTCTGTGGCTGAGTCACGCAGAGTCAATGATAAACAGAGAGGACAAGCACGCACCCAGGGAAGGCCGGACGCCCTCTCACTGAGCCTCCCCCCAGTGCGGCTGCTTTCTTCCTGCTCTAATTCCACCTGTTCCTCATTCCCCATGGCGGATATGAATAATGCATTTTATTTTTGCCTGGCGAGTGTTGTCAGACCCATTCGTACCCCTCGACGACCGCCATGAAAAAAAAGACACTTAAAGATCGCCTTCCCCGCACATCCTACGCTTCTGTCGGCTGCACCAATTACAAACAGCCACAAGATGTTTATACTCCCAAAGACGTGGCATTCCAGGTTAGCTAGGTTACTAACTAACTAGGTTACTTTTCGCTAGTTTAATAATTCGGAAAAGGTAATCTGCAAAGGTACAGTGAATGAAAGCTGACATAAAGATTTTCTGTTGGCCAATTAAAACTTTCAATTGGTTGGCCAATAAAAAAAAAATACTGAGTTTACCCTACCTCCCAGCAGCATCTCCTGCAGCAGGTTGTCTATCTTGGCCAAGCCGAAGAGCTTGACGAACTGCAGCTGCTCGATCATCTGCCAGGTGATGCTCTGCAGGGTGGGCAGCAGCAGGAGCAGCTCGCCGAAGCGGCCGCGCGAGTCGTACTGCCGGTCGTTGATGTAATCCTCCAGGCTCATCTGCACCTGGCAGCGCAGGGTCTTGATCTTCGACAAGTTGCTCAGGCTCTTAGCGTCTGGGACGGGGACAAAGCAGAGACGTCACACATCGCGGGGTAAGTCACGTGTCATCTATCCATCTCCAGTGCCCGCTTGTCCTATTCAGGGTAGTGGGGGTCCGGAGACTATCTCGGAGGCTACGGGTGCAATGTGGGGAACAACCCAGGATGGGGTGCCAATCCAGTGCAGGGCACACTCACACACCATTAACTCACACACCACTCACTCGCCAGTCACTCACACATGCACACCTACGGGCAATTTGGTAACTCCAATCAGCCTCAGCATGTGTTTGGACTGTGGGGGGGGGAAACCGGAGTCCCCAGAGGAAACCCCACAACAACACAGGGAGAACCTACAAATTCCACAAACATAGAGCCATGGCAGAGACTCAAACCTTGGTCCCAGAGGTGTGAGGCAACAGTGCTAACCACTGCACCACCGCCACCCCCTCCTCCTCGCCCGGACCAATATACAAATAAACATTATAAGCATGAACAAGTGCATTTGTAAGGTCATACATCACACGAAACCTGTACATCTGTAAGATAATATATAAAACTAAAACAGCCAAAGGAATCTGCGTTCTATATCTAACCAAATACGTGTGTGTATCGTTTCATAAAGCAGATAGAAAACACTGTACCTTGTTGATAAAACATTTGTTTCTTTTTGTAGCTCTTTGCAGTGCTGTTATCACTCCCTGGCGTTAATGATTAAACCCCGTAAAGGTTCCTCCTCACACACCTTTTATTGGCGCCCTTTGTTTGACGCGACCAAGCCTTACCCGGGTCAAAGAAAACGATAGCCTTGAGGGCGGCGTACTCATTGTCGTCCACCTGGATGTCCTGGAACGGCGCGACCAGCTCGTCCAGCACGCGATTGGCCACCCGGCTGATTTCGGGCTCATGGCAGTCGCGCCGGATGACGTGGTCGGTACCTGGGGGTACAGTGTGACAAAAATGACCATGGGGCGAGCAGACGGCCGTAACTCAGAGCATCGATCTCTGGTCAGCGGGCATCGCCTCGGAACCCCGATTAACTGCCGCCGGGGGCGATTACCCAGCAGCAGGACGTCTTTGTAGGGCATGGACCTCTTCGCCACCCCCAGGAGCAGCTGCTCCCCTGCGTGGGCTCGCAAAAGGCAGACCTACGTAGGGGTTTTCAGAACAACAGGAGGCCCGTCAGCATGGGGAAAACAACAGACATTAAAAGGCCACGACAGACACGACAGTCAGTTCAGGTGTTTAACAGTCAATAAGCATGGCGGCACATTTAGATGCTCCTCTGTAATTATACTATCAAATGATGATAATGCATTAGTCGATAAGGAAGTGACTGATATACTTATAATACTCAGAAATGTGCTTTGTGAACATACTGCACATATATAGCACGTATGTATGTATGTGTGTGTGTGTGTGTGTGTGTGTTTGCATTTCTGAATTTGTAATTATTATATTGTGGGGACCTAGTGTCCCACAATATGATAAAGACCTGTAACATTTTACCTTGTGGGGACATTTTTTTGGTCCTCACATGATTAACCTCAATTTTATTAAAATCTGTCAATGCAATCAAAAAACTAAAAATCTTGTATTTTGTTTGGTTACTTATGATCAAGGTTAGGGCTGGGTGGGGGTTAAGATCGTCATTGCTGGATTAGGGTTTTTTCCATAGAAATGAATGGAGAGTCCCCATAAAGATATGAATATAAATGTGTATGTGTGTGTATGTGTATGTGTGTGCGTGGTTGGGTGTGTATGTATAAATACAATAATTGAATTCAGGTGTCCCAATACTTTTGGCAATATATTGTGTGCAATTAATCAGCAGAAAGTACTTCTGGTATATTTGCGACTGGAACTGTGCTAGTGATATCGTGCTAGTGATATCGTGCTCGTGATATCAGCCTCGTCTTCCTGAGGTGAGTCTAGGAAGCACTGTCCTGTTGCAGCTACCAGACGGCGAGGAATTGCGAATGGCAGGCGAGCCGGGCCCCAACACGCCCCGACATGCCCCAAGATGCCCCAACGTGCCCCGATGCACCCTGACACGGCCTGACATGCCCCAACACGCCCCGACATGTCCCAAGATGCCCCAAACGTGCCCCGATGCACCCCGACATGGCCTGACGTGCCCCAACACGCCCCGACATGCCCCAAGATGCCCCAACGTGCCTCGATGCACCCCGACACGGCCTGACATGCCCCAACACGCCCCAACATGTCCCAAGATGCCCCAACGTGCCCCGATGCACCCCGACACAGCCTGATGTGCCCCATGTGGCCTGATGCCGCAATGCGACCCCAACACAGCCTGACATGCTCCGGTGAGCCCCGATACAGCCTGACACACCCTAACACGCCCCAACGTGCCCCAATATGGCCTGACAAGCCCTAATGTGCCCTGACATGCTATGAATCACCTCGATACAGCCTGACATGGCTCGACATGCCCCTAACACGCCCGACACGACCTGACATGTTCCGATGCGCCCGATGCGGCCCAACACACCCTGATGCGCCCACATGCACCTCGACATGCCCCGATACGGCCTGACACACCCCCACATGTCCATCACCTGGTCGTCCAGCGGCAGCTCGCTGAAGGCCGGGATGTACTTCGCCCACTCTACCAGCACCAACAACTGCTGCTTCATGGACTCGCAGACGTCGGCCACGCCTGCCGTCGTTTTCTCTGAGACGTCCGAGGAGACAGCAGCACTGGGAGCGTTCATCTGGGGGGGTGACAGTGGCGCAGAGCATAACATGACTGTTGTCTCCCCAAATCAGTCTGCCCGGCTACGCTCTGGGTGCTGCCCTGACTCTCACTGCGTCTGCATGTCCGCCCGGCTACGCTCTGGGTGCTGCCCTGACTCTCAGGGCGTCTGCATGTCCGCCCGGCTACGCTCTGGGTGCTGCCCTGACTCTCAGGGCGTCTGCATGTCCGCCCGGCTACGCTC